TTATGCAAATGGGAATTTAGCATGTTTTTAATTGTTTTATTGATTCGGGAAATGCTATGGTAACCATTCTGTCGGGAGTTTTAACTGTCGGATACACATGTAGTTAGTAGACGATCCTCTCGAGTCCTGAAACAATGACAGATTTTATAGCTTGTTGTTCTGACTTCCGATGTTTAAGCTCAAAGGTGGAGCAAAAAAGGATTTTCGACATATTTTCTTTGGTGTCATATCCCTCAAGATTACCTACCTAACTTTGTTCTATCATATACATATCATTTCCATGTGTAATCTTGACACAAATTATTATCACATCAGAAACAATTCAATTCAATGTGAAGTATATATTACCTTTCTTGAGTTATGTTTTTAAGGCTTTCTCCAATTGATTGTCGATTTCGTGAAGTTCTTGTTTCTTCTATGTAATACGTCTCTAGATTATGCTTGTTTGAGTATGTCGAAGATGATAACAACCTCTACCTCTTCAGTCCCATTGGCAGTCGGTACAAAAATTTGGGGAATTATTATGATCTGAAAAATATATCAAAGTTCGAGTCTTTTCTTCATTCACGCATATACCATGCATATGAGGTTTGAGGGAGGTTTGTTGTTACAGACCTTGTTTGAAGCTTTAAACCTCAAAACTTTCGCTTCTAACCATAAACTTGAATGTTAAATTTGTAAACCTCTACTGAAACCTCTTATAGAGACGTCTACGAAACCGAGCCGAACCAAACCAACCTTTATCTGACCTTTGCAGACATAACAAAGTAGAAAAAATAATAAGCGTCCTTACTCGTTTCTTTCACCCTTGCGAGCTAGCATAACACAAAGCATATTTAGTAGTTCCCTTTTAATTTTTGGACCAGGACACCACAATGTTACCATGTCCTGGAGCTTTGCGTGCAATAATTATAAAAAAAGAAAATATCTCTCTAGATGCTCCCTCTCTCTCTCTATGTTCTTCCATTCTTTTTTTCGTCTTCCTTCCTTTTTATTTTTCAGGTCATCGGAGTCGTTTTAGTTGCACAGCTGGCCGCTGCCGTACCCTTTTCGATTCCAGTTTTCATCGGTTTTTTAGAGTCGTTTTAACTGCCCCAGCCGACCACTGTCGTACACTTTTCGGTTCCAGTTTTTAGGTTTTAGATTTTTTATTTTTAGGTTTCCTGCGACCAATCCCCAGTGCCCGTCTGTCTTTGCTTTGAACCCACGGTCAAAGCTTCAGCCCTTGGCCACGACAGACACGGCTCTTTCGAGCTTGGCCATGGCCATGTCTCCGGCCGAGACTTTTATTTTGCTAGTCAACTTCCGGTGAGCAACACTAACATAACCTCCAAACAAGGTCTTTGCATCTAATTATAATTAGTAATTCACGGGATCATCATTTATTCAAGTGAAATACTAAAGAATTGCAATCAATTATCGACGGGTGACTAAGCCTCCATTATTAATGAGCGTGGATACAACCAACATTAATGGCGTTATGTAACGGGTCTTTATCGCCACGGCTACCACTGCTCCATCATCATCTCACTTTCAATAAATGAGAGACAAATATTATATTATATATACTACGTATGTAATGTAGGGTCGGATCCTTATTTGATATAATCCACACGAATTCGGGTCGCTCGGCAATTGGAGCTACCAATTTGCCTCCACGTAGCTAGTTTACTGATTGAGATTGATTACTTGCGTTGCATTTTTATTTCCAAATTGATCTGAGTATATGATTCATAATTATGTAAAATATTAATATTTGAAATTCGGGGTAAAATAAGAGACTAGTTTAGAAAATGCAACTTAAATACATAAATTCAACCAACAGAGGTTGTCTCAAGTGGTAAGCAACTTGATGTCGCTTAAGCAAGGTCTCGAGTTCGAGTTTTTGTGGATCAGAAAACCCTTGTTGGAAGACTCACCCACCACTGTCAGGTGTGTGACCAGGGTCGACCAACTGATTAGTCGGAGCATAGCTCCGGATTCCGTGGCTGGCTAAAAAAAAAAAAAAACATAAATCCAATTTGTCTTGAATTTTCTTGACATTTAAATTTTAATTACCAATGCCTCTCTTTCAGCAAGATTTGCTCATTTGATCGTATGGGAAATCCTATAAATTGATCTTGTAAACAAATGTGATTATCCTAAGACCTCACATTCTTGAGACTCCGAGTCTTAGCTTCATAGAAGAACCAAGTGGGAGTAGACATGGCCATCAGTCGGGTCGGTTCACAACTCGGCCCGGCCCAGCGGGTCGCTGGTCCTCAAAAGTTGGACGAGAACTGGTCCGGCTACATCTAAAGACAGTTCATTGAACCGGTCTGACCCGACGGTGGTTTGAAAAAAAAAATTGAAAAACAACTTCAACCCGTCTTTTGATATGCAAACGGAGCAGAACCGGCGGTTAAAAAAAAGAAGACTTGGAACCGGTCTAGTTTTACCACGGGTCCGGTTCAAGACCCGTAGATCCGCTTTGGTCCAGTTTCGAGCCGGTTCCGAGCAGGGCCAACCCTTGCCAATCTCTAACTAGGAGTGTAGCAAAAAAAAAAAAAAAAAAAAAACCTTGAGGAGAGGGGCTTTGTTTGGTCAAATCTGGTCGACGTGTAGCTACCAAATTTGACTGGCTCTCTCGTTGCCCAAGCCAAGAGTCCAAGACTCGTGCCAAAAATGCAGGTTTCCCCACAAGCATCCATATTCGAACAACAAAAAATATTACACTCTCTAAGTGGCCAATTATTAGTTTTTATTTCTTTCAAATATATGTATTATTTTCCATTTTTTTATAATTTTTAAATAAAAAAACAAGCAATTAAATATGTATATATATATATATATATATATATATGTGAGTGTGTTAAAACAAGCCATAAACTAGAACAGAGTATCATATATCGTATAAATAGTCAAATTGGAAGTTCATTTTTTTTTTTTTCATTAGTGGTATACTTTCTTCAATTTCGTTCGATCTATCACATATTGAAATAAAATATGGTTCATTATGTGTGTCCTTTTCTGATAAGCCCAAAAGTGTTACCCTAATCTTAAATGAGCTAAGCTCCTGATACATGAGCTTGAACCTTTATTGAGTTGAGCCTATATGAGCTCGATGAGGCTCGTTTATCAATATTAACGAGCTAAATTCGAGCCCAATTCAAGCCTTAGTTATATGAGCCATGAAAAAATTAAATAAAAATTCTTATTTTTAATCATTAACGATTGAGCTTGGCTTATCAAACGAGTCGAGCTCAAGCCAAGCACATGAGCGTCTAGTTCGGTTAGTCGTTGTAGATATCTTTTATTTGTTATGTTAACCTATATCAATCTAGTTATGTAAGTGTTAATCCATCATATCATACTAACATAATATTACTGCTATAGGCCATATATGACATTGTCCAAATTAATAATGTAGACATAGTTATGTAAGTGTTAATCCATCATATCATAGATAATTGATCTAACGGTTACAAATCCCGACGAAATGGTTATGTAACGGGACTATAGCATTTCTCTATATATAATAGTATTTGAGTAAGCTCAGAACAATAATGCTAAAGAGCCAACAGTTGGCTCCGTTACGAAGCCAACAACCAATGAGACAACTCCAGGTGGGGCTGGCCCACAATACTTTAATGTGGGACAGCCCCACATGGAGTTATCCAATTGGTTGTTGGCTCCATAACGAAGCCAACTGTTGGCTCATTAGCATTACTGAAAGCTCAAAAATGGGCAAACATTAATGGAATAATGGAGAAGCTGATGGGTATCTACATATCCTCTCAGAGCTCACAGAGTGCCTTTGCATGGGAAAGTGTGGCGCCCTTTAATGAGCATTTATTTCACCATCACCTAATTCCAATTTCCAACTACATACAATTGCACGTCCATTAAATAATAACTAAGTCTTCTTCCAGCTACTTCCTCTTATTTCCTCTCTACAATTTACTGAAAAATAACAAACACTAAAAAAAAAAAAAAAAA